ACTTAATTACTCGATTGTAGAAAGAGCGTGATCATCGATACTTTTAATTTTATTAGAATGGTGACAGTTCGTTAACAAAAAACAAGTTGCCGTCATTTTGGCACACATTCTGTTGGCACACAAATACTGACCATTACTTCAACGGGGGAATCTCACAATAATCGATGTACATACAATTAAAATCAGCACAGTTTATAATAATAATTATTATTATTTAATCAAATATTTATTTTCCATTTGTGAGAAATCTTTAGCCTTCATAAGGGCCCCCAAACAAATTATTATAAGGGGCCCCGCCATGGCACGCCACGCCACTGATTATATTGGATAGTATTGTAAAGTAAATAATGATGTTATAATGTAAATAAGTAAAGATAGAAAAAAAAAATTGTTAGAAACTCAAAGACGTTAAGAGTGGATGGCTTCGCAAAGTAGGGGAATCATGTACGAGTGTAATTTGATTACGAACCGCTTATGTAAATAGCCAAGTGCGCGCGACCCCAGCTGAATGTAAGAAGGGTCGGTTGAATAGAATTTTGTAAACTTTCCGAAACTCAACTCAAACAAAGAAAAACTCAAACAATTAAAAAAGCTTATTATAAGGTATCTGATTATATAACAGACTAGCTTTTGCCCGCGACTTCGTCCGCGTGGTAAAGTTACTTTGAGCAGCAGTTGCCCGAAAAGTACCTGACATAAACTTTCTTCCCCTATTTTACCCCTTAGGGCTGGAATTTATCAAAATCCTTTCATAGGGGATGCCTACATCACAATAGCTTTATGCATGCAGTCTCAGCCCGATCGGATTACAATTGACAAAGTTTCTTACAAAATTTCATCCACTACTTTATCCCCTTGGGGGTAGAATTGATCAAAATCTTTTCTTAGCGGATGCCTACGTCATAATATCTACCTGCATGCCAAATTTCAGCACGATCCGTCCAGTTTTTTGGGCTGTGCGTTGATAGATCACTTTGTCAGTCAGTCACACCTTTAAGTTTTATATATTTAGAAAGAATGCTTGGACTTGATGATCCAGCAACTGGATAGGTGATTACTTTTTTAACTCGTTATAGCATATCAAAAATTATCCATTGTTTCCATTATATTATAAGGCCATAGCTTTTTTTCTCTCTATTTATAATATATTGATCTGGTAATGACATGGTTTTTGTAAATGTCATTACTCCTATTAGAGCTGGTGAGTTTCTTGCTCGTTCTTCTTATCAGCCAAAAGACGTCCTGAACGAGCGGTAGGGAAAAAATCTTGGACAATCAAAAGTACTTTTATGAAGTCTATTTGAATAAAGATTATTGACTTTGAGTTTGAAAATAAATATGAAGAAACCACTATCGAAGAAGTTTCATTATACAGTCCGGCAACGGCTAGCTACGGGTTATTTTATTACGGGGTACCACTGTTCACTCAAAAATGAGTACTTTTGAATCCTCCAAACTTGTACCATTGTAACCGTACACTCAAGAAATGAAAACATGTTTTTTTAATATTATTCATTTATTAAACAGGCTGTGCCCGCGACATCGTCTGCGTGGGATAGTATATCAGGAGAATTGTTTCTTTCCTATGGTTGGTATCGAATCGAGTAGGATCAATGGTCAATGACGCACTAAGCGAGCCCAATGCGGATTGGTGGGTGGTAACGACTACTGATGCAGCCGGGACCAACGGCTTAGCTTGCATTCCGAAGCACGGTGGATAGGATAGGACGCTCAAGATAATAATGTTTCGATCGTCCACCCTATGAACGGCCCTTACGATAGTTGTTTTTCTATATTTTTTTCTCACTTCTCTCTCTGCTCTTGTGTCTGACCATTTTTATCATACATTAGGTATACTCGTATTAATGATACTTGCGCCGTTTCAAATGTTCTTCTTTTAATTTTGATCTTTTAAAAATGTTATTTGTTTATCTGTCCAGTTGTATGCGAAACCTATTATTGTTTGTCATGTTTTTTCATAGGCTAGGTTGCCTTAAAGAAATCGCTGGCTAGCGCTAAGTTTGTATTTAATACATAGCTATGAAGGTTATGTATAAAAAATATTTATCTTTGTTCGTGTCATTTTCTTGTTACGCAATAAAGACTACTTACTTACTTACCGCATCGTAAACTAAATGCGCTAACCTCTAATTTTTAAAAGAGGAAAAATTCATTCTATTTTTGCATCGAATTGGTTCCAAACCACTAAACCGATTTTAAAAATTCTTTCGCCTACGGGAAGGTACGTCATACTCAGGTGACACAGGTTATAATTTACGCGGCTAGTTTATCAATTAAATAGGTACGCTTGTTGGGTACAGGCAGGTTGAAGGCAACACCGACTGGCGATAATCGAAATTACTCTCTCGCTCTCTATACAGCGACGTTCGAGCTCTTTTTGGAAGATTTATAGCTATACAAAGAATAATCTTATAAAACTATAATAAAAACAAGTCAATTAAAAGTCCTCATCATTAGTAACATACTATTTCAAATATGTATGTATTACTTATGTATTATTACTTATTTATTACGCACGCAGAGCACACAGAGTCCGCAGCTATAAAATCGGTAGTTAATAGTATATTGCATGGCACTCACAAATCGTTGAAGAATATATTGCTTAAAATACGCCTAGACGAAACCTTGATAGTGTCGATAGGTCATTGAAGACGTTAAGAGCTCTCCAGAGACATGAATTCTGTCTATGGAAAACACAGTATAAATTATTTATAACTATTATTATGTGTGATATTTTAACAAATGCTTATAATTCTAATCTTTTTATTAAATCGTTTTAATGAAAGTCAAAATATTATCATATTTATTTTAATCTAGATTTGAATCTGTCAAAATCAATATAGATATGTATAGGACTTTTCTTTCCATTTTTAATACTGAATCCCACTTCAGACTTTAAATACAGATTGTAGAGGATTATTATCTTTTCTTCCTTGAATACCTACAAAAATTTAATGTACAACTTGATGTGGATTTTATAATTTTTCTTAAAAACTAGCATTAAGAGTCTTATGCATTTTTTCTTTTGTATTTTTGCAGATAAGAAACAAAATTTCTTGTTAATTTGTGATTCCATCCAATATTTATAGATCTTATTGTTTATTATTAATAGTTAAAATAATTATTGCTTTTGTCACTAGGCAGAATATTTTACTTAAAAAATATTGTTTAAAATGATGATTATTTTAAAAAGTAATAGGCAACACTTTCATTCAATACTATTGATAATAAATATATATTGATAAAAATGCTGACAAATGGAGCCGTAACAGATAGATGAAATGTCAATAATGAGAAACGTTTTTTTGTTTGTCCCTCAGGAAATTAGTGAAGTATTAAATACACATTTTATTTTTTTTACGTAATCAATAAAATAAAATTAGTGGATTAAAATGTCGTCTTGGTACATTTTCTAGATAATTGTAAAATAGTGAACACCCACTCCTCAACTGTAATGTATAAATATATTATAGATATAAATACTGTATTATCTAAGCCATTTTTAAGCCAAACAAAATTGAGTCTAATATTTTTCTATTATCTGACTGACAGACTAAATGGACATTTTTTTTACCCTTATGTGGAAGCAAAATTGATTAAATATAATAATTGTTCCAAAGTTCTTTTTTTTATGAGTAATGAGGGTGGAACTGTATTTTTTTATTTATCATTAATGGTCTATTTCATTCACCATCCTTTATAATGGTGGTCAATCATCACCATTGTTTATCTTTTGACATGATGAAGCAATTGATTCAAAAATAACAAACATATTTCCTGAGTTGGCAATAAAAAAAATATATCTTTCCTGGTGATAAAATCAAGTTGAATTTCAGTCATTTCCATTTTTAGATATGAAAATTCACACTGCAATAGATGAAAAATTGACAAATGAAAATATTGACCATAATATATTTTCATTTGTCAATTCAACAAACATTAATTGTTTAGATCAGTTCAAACACAAAGTCACAAACCACTACTAAAATCATTGAAACTATAATAATTTAACATTAAGGTTCATTTTATTTACTATTAGATCTCTAGTTCAATATTTGCATATCTGTGTTGTTTCATTATTGTTACAAGACACACAGGTTCCAAAACTATAGACAAAATTTATTCTCATTAGTCTATAATAAGACCAATAATAATTATTTTAAGCTCTTTGTAGCTGAATTAACTTTCTTTTTATTACTGAATAAAAATTAAAAAAAACTTGGTATTTATAAACTAATTCTCAAACAATCTTACAGGAATAAGTAAAAAATAAATTATGCTCTATGACAGGACCTTCTACATTCCAAACATTTCCAGTGACTTCTATAGAGATTCAAGCTGCATAAAGGTTAAAAAAGGTCAGCATCAATTCATCCAATTTATTATCTTTCACATGAAACTAAATATCTATAGTACCTAACTATAGTGCTTTTTGTGTAAATGTGAATCTATTTATGATTTTAGATGTACAAACAATAACAAATAAAATATATAATAGTAACAGTACCATATCTATTGATAACAATTATGGTTTTGATACCTAATACTTAATTGGAATTGTCTGTATGATTTAGCTGTTTTAAAGAAAGAAACAGAAAAATAATTAAACTTATAATATTTAGAGCGGAAATCACTACTTTACCAATGTTTTATAATAACCAAGGTTTGTGTATAGGTAAGTAAAGTTTTGTGATATCAACGCACGAGGAAAATAGATTATAGCTTATATTATTAATAAATTTTCATAACGATATACCTAACGGTATGAACGTTAGGCAACCTTTCACGCGTGCTAACATATGGCTGGGCAAATAAAATTGTATTGATTAATCCAATTATAATGTTTTCGTAATCAAATCTGTTCCAACAAAACGACCTTTTAGTGCCCGAAATACATACAATGAAAGGCACATACTTACGTAGTGAGTTCAGAGTGGTTCAGATTTGATTAATCTTTTGATGTCACTATTTTTGGTAATTTTCTATTTTACTTTTACGTTACTGTAATATTAAATTATAAATTCATTCAATGCTCACCTTGTGTAACGAGTACAATATTAGGTCACTGCATCCGAACCATTCCATAATTGATGCCACACAGAATCACAAAAGTTATCATTTTCGTCAAATTGCACAAACAAAAAAAACCAACGCGACGAGAGGAAGCGCATCGTCCAAACTTCAAATTTATACTGACAGCCATGCTGCTGATGAGTCCGTCTTTATTGTGGAGTTACGCGCCGATTGGTGGAACTAGAACCCATAAAAAATTACCAATACATCTATCCACCAATCATAAGGCAGGAATTTGAAAAATCTTGACAGATTGCCAAAATTCATAAATGAAATGCAATATCGTACACGTTTTGTTATTCTGATAATTAAAATATAAAATTAAACTAAACGGCTTAATTTTTTATCTAAGTAGAGTAAAGTAATTAGCTAGATGAGATCGATATTTCAGCAAATTACAGTTACCTTGTATTTTTAAAAACAAAAAATATGACACATATAATATCGTCTACCCTCAAGATATACCTTTAACAGGAAATGTATAGGTTAATTTCCTTTAAAATATATAAGAACGATAACTCTCAGAATGATATATGTTATTATTCTGAGGGATAACTAATTCAATCTATGATAGATAACTAACGTTAAAATAAACTTTGTTTCAGTAAAGCAACAACACAAGAACGAGACATGCAAATATAAAAAGTCGTATTCTTATAGAAGGTAAAAACTGACAGTGATATATTGTTTTTATCGTAAATTTATAAGTAACATTCAAGTCAAGACAGATCTTTCATCGTGATAAAATTTCCTTTGAACAAAAACATAGTCGTTCCTAAATAGCGACGACCAATAAGTTGCTTGTAACAAAACGCAGTGTCAAACCAGAAATATGTCAAATGTCTTATGTCAGTGTCACGTACACCAGCTGACTTAACTGACTTGACTTTGTCAACGTGAGATTTTCTTGGCATTTTCGAGGTTATGATAAAACATTTTTGTATTATCTATGATCGCTTGTTAGAATTTTCATTTATTTATTAATTATGGGTAAAAGTAAAAACAAGAATCAAGAACGAAAGAAGAAAATAACATTAGTTTTCGATGAAACCAAAAGAAAGTAAGTCATACTTTATCCCGTATTATACATTCAAAAGAAATACTACATACTGATTTGTTTATATTTTAGGGACTTCCTTTGTGGATTTCGTAAACGAAAATTAGAGAGGAAAAAGAAAGCACAAGAAGAATTACAGCGTATGTTAAAAGAAGAAAAGAAAAGAATAAAACAGGAGGTAAGTATTGACTATAACCTAATTTTATTTGAAATCACTCTGTAACAGAGGTGTTCAAATAGCATTATAAGACTAAACCGTACAATATCCCCCAAGATTGAAAGTTGGTAATTTTTTGGTGTAAAGATCTATATTAAAAACATAATTGTGTAAAGTTTCATTTAATGGAACTTCATAGTTTTTGGGAAAAAATACAATATACTGAAAAAAAAACAATTTGATTTAGCTGTACTTTTTATTTGGGGAGGAGACAAAGGTGTATACAAAGTAAGCCAAAATATTTGACTAGTACAACATAAAATGAAATTGTGTCATTTGTTTCATTGTATAACCTCAATAACTGTCCATCTATGCATTTCCATGGGGGTTTTGATAGAAGGGTAATATTAAAAAAATACTAAATTTGTTTGGGGATATTGTACAGTTTTACCCATTATAATGCTGATTTATTACATTATTGATTAAGAAAAGTTAATCCACTTTTGGTTTCAGAACAAAGAAGCTTATAAAAAGTTAGTTGTATCGTCTCGACCTATTCCTGATATTGAACAGTTATTACAAGATGAATATGAAGATGAAGATGTTAATGTTAAAATAGTAGAGTTATCTTCAGATGTCTTGCAGAAAAAAGATTTAGTAATTGGTGAAAATAGGCCAACAGAAAGTACTGTAAAAAGAGATGTTTGCAAAAAAAGAAGTGTTGAAGATATTCCAGGCATGGCTTTAGATACAGAAAATGAAAAATATGAATCTGAAGTAGAAGAAAATGCTGAGAAAAAGTTAAAAACTAAAAAAGAGATAAAGAAAATGCTAAAAAGACAAGCTACAAAAAAGATACAAAAAAGTAAAGTGTTTCAAATGAAGAGTAATCTGGAAAAGGTGCAGAACAAGAAGAAATCTCAACAAAAGAAAAGAAGAATGAATATGAAATCTCAGCCCCACAAAGACAAGTCTAAGAAGAAAACAGGCAGAAGGCATTAAAAATGATCATGATATGTAATTCTCTTATTTATTATATTCACCAATTAGCCTTTTAGTATTCATAATGATAACATACAAAACAAACGCTTTAATCAACATGAGTTATTTTTGGCAGATCTAGACTTTTTAATTTCTGCTCTGCAAGAGCCTTCTCCTTGCTCCTTTTTATTTCGAGGTGATTTTCTTTTCTGAGGAGATTTGTTGTGTTCTTTATTTAACTGAAAATCTGTTTTCTGTAGAATTTCAACACCCTTCTGTGTATGTAATTCATTACCAGACTCTAATAATTTTGTATTCTCTGTTTTTGGAGCTTTTCTTTTGTTGCATTTGTTAGGTTCAGTTTTAATCAAATTGAGCTCTGTTTTAGGAATGAAATCATCATATTCTGTTTTAATTTCTGTCTTGATAGGAGATTTTTTAGATGGCGATTTTCTTCCCTTTCCACTAGATGGACAAATATCTCTATTCAAACATTCATTACAGATAGGGTTTACAGGCAAACATATTGTTTGTCCAAATCCTACCATAAGGTGATTTACTTCACTCCACAACTCAAAAGGTAGCCAAGTTTGTAGAGCTTTTCTGGTTTCTTCAGGAGTAGCTGTAGGCTTACTCACCCAGCCTATCCTGTTACTAATTCTGTGTACATGTGTATCAACCCCTAAAATAGACATTTCATTAGATACATCATAAGGTGTTGGATAAGTAACACTTATTATTCAACTTACCAATCCCAGTGACTTTATTCCAAGCAACTTGCATGCAAATGTGAGCCATCTTAGGTCCTACACCAGTGAGTTTGCAAAGTTTATCTACAGAGTCTGGTATATCTCCTTTATACTGTTCTTTTAAGGTTTGAGTTGTTTTCTTTATGTATTTTACTTTTGTCTGTAACAATGGCAATTCATGTATTTGAAAACAAAATTGATACATATATTAACAATTGGTTGCACAAACATCAATTATGGTTTAATGAATCCTTTGGCATATTAAATAATGCAATTTTTAAAAGATGTTTGTAGCTAGCAGTTAGGCTGTCAACTGTCTGGACTTCTGCAATTTGAGTATTAACTATGATAACAGAAGTAAACATCTATACTAATATTATAAAGCTGAAGAGTTTGTTTGTTTGAACGCACTAATCTTAGGAACTACTGGTTCGAAATTGAAAAATTATTTTTGTGTTGAATAGACCATTTATCAAGGAAGGCTTTAGGCTATATAACATCATGCTGCAACTATTAAGAGCGAAGAAATAATGGAAAACACGGACAAAGTCGCTGGCGGCCACTTGTAATATATACAATTGTATATATTAGATTACATGTGACTACAGAATAACATTAAAAATATTTGGGTAGCATAAATTCCAAATTAAAATTGGATTATTAAAGTAGGTCAGTTCATGGTACAACAGAATTTGCATCAATGTGATCATTAGTCCTTACTAATATTTAGGCCTTTGTTTATAAATTCCTAAATACTGCAATTTTTGTTTACTTTCCAAAATCCAACAGGATATATTAACTGTCCCAATTCTTCATCTGTCATGCTCAGCACATTATCCACAGTCAGACCCCTGGCTTTGAGACGTTCCATTGCAGCAAAAGTCACTTGATCTTTGGTCTGACTAGATAACATTAGAGCTATAAGACTTTGATACCGCATTACCTGTAAAAATAATTGCTTATTACCAGAATATTGTAAAAAATAAACAAATATCCTGTAGCATAGGATGTTTGTTTGTGAAGGCAATGGACTCTTAACTAAAATTACCTCTGGAGGTGCATTCTCATCCATGGCTTTGTGACATCCAATGGAGTCTACTGGAGCATCATTATTGGATCTCATTATCTTTAAATTGACCAAAAATTCCTTCCAATTTGTAGGTTCCCATAAACCTTTGGTTTCCTAAACATAGTTCTATAATTACCTAGATATAAAAACAGTAATAAAAAATTCTGGTTTTTATTTATGCATTACTAATATGGTAAAAATTTGATTAAGTACCTCTCTGGAAGACTCCTTTTCATATTCTACTTTTATATGGGGTTTCTTTTGAAACCTAAAGACATTCAAGGCAGGTATTACACTTGATGTCGATTCTGAAAGATGAACGGGCTCCTTTTTTTTCTGTGTTTCGTTGATTTCTTCATGATCGGAATCAAAACCTGCTTTATTTCGAATGTTACCTTTATTGTTATTATTAATTTTGGCTTTTCTACGATACATTATTGTCACTGAATTCAATAAAAATCTAATTGTGTATCTAATCTAACACCAACAATTGTAATGAAATTGAATAAAACAGTGTATATAGATATTTATTTACAAAGAGAATAATAAAATTAACATAACACTTGCAAGTTCCCTCTATTTTAAATAAAGTAGGTTTACCTACTCTTTGTTTGTAGGGTTAGTTCATAGATTCATAGACATAAAAGAAGGGTTAGTTCATGGTTAGTTCGCTGTTCGTAGTAGTACGTAGAGTATTATTGTTCTGTGGTACTCTTTGATATTGGTTAAGTGGGTAGAAATTAATGGTGTGCGGAATCGATTACCATTAATCAATTAATCGATTTTTCAAATAATCGGATGCAATCGATTATGGTTTCATAATAGACGATTACACATCGATTATTTCTTAAAATGTTAGCAATAGGAATAGTTTAAAACATGCTTGTACAGAATTATTAATACTAGGAGCGTGCCGGCCACCAGAAGTAAAGGAAATTAAAGAATTGATAATAATTTATTAAAATTAAAAAATAATTTATTAATTCAATCTTTTTTATTGGGCTCAAATTTACTTGTAGCAACACGTAAAACTGCTTCCAAACTTTCATTTGCAAGGCGGTTTCGATTTTTTGTTTTTATTACATATTATTTAGTATTGAAAAAGTTTGTTCACATATATAGGTAGAACCAAATAAACTGGTACATTTCAGAGCATTTATGCGCAACTTTTCGTACATATTTTTATCTTACTTAATGAATTTGTTGCGTAAATCTTGGTCGTTTTGAATGTCCATAATTTCAAACTGCATTCATTGACTTTGGCGCATTTTCAACTGAAATCGTGAAAGTATTGCTGAATATGTCCAACGGAGGTTTCACTTTTTTAAACTCCAAAAATCTGTCTTGAAAAGATTGAATCAAAATATCTAGCTTTTCTACATAACTGAAATTAATCGCTGTTTGTTGAATTTTTCAGCCATTTTCTTATAATTCGGAAAATGATTGTAATTTCCAGAATTCAATTGTGATCTGAAAAGTGTCAGCTTGCATTGAAAGGATGATACATGGGTGTAGAGATTATTCTTCAGAAATTTTAAGATTTTTATACAGATTTTATATCTGAAATAATGACGTTTTTTATACAACTCTGATAAAAAAGTAATTTCTTTGTTTTATTTTAATATTTGGCCAACATTTAATGTTGGCTAATTTGATTAAATATGAAGGGAAACACTTACTAATAACAGAGTTTTACTTACGATTTCATAACATAATTATACACGGCACTTGACGGGTTAATACTGCAACAGGAAATCTACGTTGAATGTGGATGTGGATATATGACACCGGCTGGTTGAGTTAAAATCTACACTAGAACTATTGCCTCCCCAAAACACTATTAAACTGCACTTATTCTCAATCACTAATTACTTTTTTGTATTTTCACGCTTATTTCTTTTTGTTGACACTTCAATCAAATTAAAAACGAACTGTCGGTCGCTGCGGTTAGCGTGGCTTTTATACCGCGCGTACGACTCTGGAAGATTCGTGTATCTACCTACGCTAGCAATCGGGAATTCGGGACTATCTTTGGGGCGTTTCAACTTATGTTATCAAATCTATAATACCATCTATAGCGCCTCAATTAACTTTTATTTTTAATAAGTGCATTTATGAAGGAACTTTTCCTAATTTAATGAAATATGGTAAAATAATCCCACTTTTCAAGGCAGGCGACAAGTCTGATCCCAGTAATTTCAGACCAATTTCTATACTACCAGCGTTAAGTTAAGTATTTGAAAAAATTATTTACAATCAACTCCTTGCACACTTTTTATTAAATAAATTACTTCACCAAAATCAGTTTGGCTTTAGCAGAGGTAAATGTACCACAGACGCTGGAATTGCACTTCTGAGGCATATCTATGATGCTTGGGAGAATAAACAAGATGCTATTGGCATTTTTTGCGATCTATCAAAAGCATTCGACTGCGTTAGTCATGAAACACTGTTGGGAAAATTAGAGCATTATGGTGTGACGAAAAATTCACTTAATCTAATAAAATCATATCTTTCTGCTAGAATTCAAAAAGTAGTAATTAATGAAGCGAAATCTGCAAGGGCACCAGTTACTATGGGCGTACCTCAGGGATCGGTATTAGGACCATTGCTTTTTCTTATTTATATTAATGATCTTTCTCACTTTACGAAGAATTTGTGCGAGACAGTATTATTTGCAGATGACACCTCTTTACTGTTTAAAGTTGAGAGGGGTAATGATTGTTTTGACGATGTAAATAATGCTCACGACAATGTTCTACAGTGGTTTGATAATAATAATTTAAAGCTCAATTCAAATAAAACGAAATGCATAAAGTTTGCATTACCTAATGTGAGGCATGTCAGTACACTTATAAATGTAAATAGTGAAAAAGTTGAGTTAGTAGAATCGACAAAGTTTCTTGGTATTACACTAGATTCCCGACTGCAATGGGATCCTCATATTGATAGCTTGTCAAGTAGACTGAGTTCTGCAGCTTTTGCTTTTAAGAAAATTAGACTCTTGACAAATGTTGAAACGGCAAGATTGGTATATTTTAGTTATTTTCATACTGTAATGACGTATGGTATATTGTTGTGGGGTTCTGCGGCTAGCATTAAGGATATTTTTATTCTACAAAAGAGAGCTGTCCGTGCTATATATAATTTACGGTCTAGGGAATCTCTCAGAAAAATATTTAAAGAAATAAATATTCTGACTGAATATTATGTACACAAGGAAACATTACGATTCCTTCACAAAAAAAAGTAGTGTTCATAATCTTAACACAAGAAATAAAAATAAACTTGCCGTTCCAAGCTTCAGACTTCAAAATCAGAGGATCATTTCTGGGTAAATGTATTGCTATGTTCAATAAAGTTCCACAAAATATAATTGACCTACCCATAAATAAATTTCAAATTCATGTAAAGAATATACTTATGAGTAAAGGCTATTATAAAGTTGATGATTATTTTAAGGATCGCAATGCATGGAATTAATAGCCTTCGCTTTGTTCTATAAAGACTAATTATATGTTCAACCTATGTTCTACAGACTTTGAAAGTTGTATTTATTATTGTGATAATACATATTATTTTGGTAATGACATGATTTATGTAAATGTCATTACTTATGATAGAGAGCTGGTAAGTTTCTTTCGCTTGTTCTTCTTGTCAACTAAAAGACGTCCTGAACAAGTGGTAGGGGAGAAAAAAATTTTTTGGACGATTCAAAAGTGCTTGTAATAGCCTACTTGAATAAAGATATTTTCATTTCATTTCATTTCATTGCTATCTCGTTTGCTCACACCGCGCTAGAAAATTCTTGATTTCTCTACTATTTTGAACTTTATGTAAAGGTGGCAAGCGATGTTACTTGACTTAGCACTTTTGGGCGCTAGATTCAAATAGCGCGTGTGCGAGATTCAAATAACAGAATAGAATTCAATATTTTTCGAATGTACGAGAGTATTATTTTTGCGGTCGGCGAGCCACCAGTATTCAACCGACGGGCCGCGGTCTGTGCATCCACAGTTTAAAACGTTAGTATAGTATCTGCTTACTTTACTTCGATGGCTCATAGCGGATCGCGAGTGTAAATATTATTAGTAGATATTCTATTACTTATTATGGCAACCCTGGAATACTCCCACGAATACATAGGTAACTTTACTCTGTGGTTGGGGAATTCCCGATGAATGAATGAACGGATCTTACAGTTTTATTTTAACAATTAAAAATTAACCATTTTTTACTAAATGCACATGTATACACAGCACATACCTATATCAAATAATATTTTTAATATTTTTGTCTGTCTGTTTGTTCCAGCTAAACTCTGAAACGGTTACACCAGTTTGGCGGGACTTTCACTGGCAGATAGCTTATGTAATAAGGAATTACTAAGTTTACTTTCCACGCGGACGAAATCGCGGGTACAGTTAGTCTAATTCTATAAATTTTGCATGTACGATGCTGGTACCAAACATTGTCTTAAAATTGATTTTTAACTATTTTTCATTGACTTGGATGACTTTAAAATTCGGAGGAATTAATCTGAAATCATTAATAAACTTTTGGGGACAAAATGTTTAATAATCGTTACATGTATCGATTATTATCGAATATAAATTGATTACGAGTTATTCTATAATCGATTAATCGATGTGTATAATAATCGAATCTGCACATCATTAGTAGAAATGGACGTTTAAATGAAAAGCACCTAATTTAGCATACTTTTCTAAATTTTAAAAACGGTTTTTCACTTAGAAGAAAGGTATGCTAATGCTTATGATATGTCCCGCCATCTATCAAGTAATGATGTAACTACTAGCTTCGATCAATTTTTCTATGTCGGCATCGCTCTATTGGAGGACAACACTTTACATAAATGCACTGTATTATAATATTATGCATAGCAACCATTTAGACATTTATAAGCTTTTCGTTGTCGGAGTAGGCGCGCGTTGTGTTGAAAGTTAATTCATTACGTTAATTTAAAGTTTAACTTTATTATATTGATTCCAGACAGACCTAAGCCTGTGATTAAGTACGACGAATAATTCATGGATTTAAATAAAGTACAAAAAATTAGATGTTATCAATATTTTGCTAACTTACAAAAATTTCGTTTTATTTGGATTTGTAGCTTTAAAAATTATTTATTATTGTAATTTTATTTATTTTAGTCAAAGTAAGTTAGTTTCATAAATAACTACAACACAACTTTGCACGCTTTTCAAACGTCAATTGAAAAAAAACCTTAAAACAATGAGCCGTTTTAAAAACGCTCATTAAAAATCGTACAACATAACAACGCTTAAAAATTTTAAGCCGTTATTTCTACCTCTACAAGTGGGTTGGGTAAAAAGTTTATACAGTATAATATTGTGATCTTTGGGTTATACACGGCAGTGTGCTATATAGATTTATATAGGAGAAAAATTACCATGACTACCGTCGTTTATCTGTGGGATTTTGACATTTCTTTCCTTTTTCTTGTACATACCTTACACCCGCTTTCTCTTGTCATCGTCGCGCCGCTTCTTAAGAGAGCGTGACTAGGTACTTAACTTATGCAATGTGAAGCGTTGGGTTGTAGATGGGGGGTGAGCAGCAACCCCAGGCTTCAGGTATAAAAAATAAAACTAAAAATAAAGTTTAACAATCTTTATGTTTGTTCTCAGGGGGTAGGTAAAGATATTCGCTCGCTTTGGTTCTTGTATCTAGTATTATGAGGGAAGGACTTAGCTTTCTAGTTAATTTAGGGTATTATGTGGCGAGTTCGTGGAGTCAGCGTCACGGGCCGGGCAGAGGCTGACAAGGGTGTAGACCTGTCGTCAGCTCCGGTCAGCAGCACTGAAGATCCACGAAGCTCAGGAGGACTGGGGTAGAAGAAGAACCCTGTTAACATAAATACAGCACTGAATAGAAGTTCAATAAGTGCGGCTACCAGTGGCCTGGAACAATTAAGATAGCTAAAGTTGCTATAGCTTCTATAAAAATCTACCGGCTAAAAAAATATAAAAACGTGTATTTCAAATGATATCAAAAATCATTTAGAATGAAGTTAAAATAAAAGATGCTATGATAATAATCTGTAAGTTAACAGAAATACAAATACTAATATATTAAATTACATGGGAATCGAACCCGTACTTCAAGTAAAATGAAAGCACTAAGTGTTCCATTTAAAATCATCTAAATTTCAAGGTTATCAAAATTATTTATAACACAACCCGGGAATCGAACCTGAGATGGAAACAAAATCACGAATTGAAACTGAAATAACTAGCATTCGGACAATGTATCGATTATATTTAATTTTTAGCAGACAAAATTAAATATGAAATCTGTAAGGTAGAAAAATAATAAAATGTTAATTTTGCATAGTCTCAGAACTCCGTTCTGTTTCAATATGTTGTTTTATGAATGTTATTTCTTTCCTTAAATAAATATTTCACCGTTATTGAAATAGAATAAAAATATTATCGAACATTAGGTTAAGAACTGGATTTTTACTTCAGTAATAATATTCAATGAAAATGTTAAACATTATAAAACAGCGAAATAGATTTAGAATTTAAAGTTACTTATTGGACTTGTGATTTTAAAAATAAAATACTCCAAGGTGATAACTTATAAGCGAGCAGTAAAAATTAAAGAATTAGAACACTCACCCGATTTCGGGGTTATTTAACACTAACTTACAATTTTGAAAAATCACTTAAAAATGAATGTATTGATTCGCGAGAAGTCATTTAAATACTATTTCGCCACTATGAGCCGCGCTGCGCTCCTATGTCTACCTACCTCCATAGTACAATTGTTAACATTGTACCTACAATTATTTTTAATTATATTTTTCTTTAAATTAATTTGTATTAAAAAGGAAATAAACACATCAGCTAAACATTCAAAAGAAGGACAGTTTAATAAGTAAACTGTTACAAATGAATTAAGTTATGCGGATGTCAAAGAAATCAAGAATATGTCATAGACAATATAGATTTTTTTACGTTCGATCCTATCTTCTACAGTTTCCGGTTTCAGTCCCATAAGAATGAAAAAAATATCGTTTTCGATTAAATTTTCGATACTAGATATTTTATATCGATTTATCGTATCAATTTATATCGGTTAAAAATTGATATATTGAATTCAAAATATCGATTTATCGATTCATTGATACTTTTTCTGATAGCTTAATTTAGTGCTCTGCAAAGTCCGTGGTGCTCTGTGGTTAAGGCGCCTGAACATTATTGTTCTGTGGCTGTGCCTCCAAAGAGAACAGTAATGCAGTAATGTGCCTCCCGTAAACTTTTATACAACAATAATATTTTAAGAGAAGTGTGTGAATAATGGCAGAATTACTTTTAGATCCAAAAATTAGATTCTGGGTTTTTCTTCCCATAGTGGTTATTACTTTCTTGGTTGGTATTGTGAGACACTATGTGTCCATCATATTATCCTCTCAAAAGAAAATCGAACTTCTCCAGGTTCAAGATAGGTACGTTAATTCTTTTTGGTATTAAACAATTATGATGACTGATTTATTATTAACTATTAGGTTTTTTTTTTCAGTCAAGTAATGATACGAGCGCGTTTGCTTCGCGAAAATGGTAAATATTTACCTAGGCAGTCATTCGCAATGCGTAGACATTGGTTTAACAACGAAGATACAGGATACTTTAAGGTTCAAAAGCGAGCAGCTGCTTCTCAGGTACATCAAATCTATGATAGAATTCATTTATACCCCTTATTTATCTTAGAAATAATTTTAATAGAATTAGCATTTCATTTTCAGAATCCAATGACAGACCCTGGCATGATGACTGATATGCTAAAAGGCAATGTTACTAATGTTTTACCAATGATTGTGATTGGAGGCTGGATCAATTGGATGTTTAGTGGCTTTCTTACAAGTAAGCATTAGATTAAGTTTTTATCACTCATCTTACCAATATGTAAATGATAGATTTAAATTGCCTTAGGCCTATTCATTGTTTATAATTTAGTTAAGGGGTACTTTTAATCCCACGGTTAAGGTCACCCTAAGGGTTGTTAAATTAAAAAGCTATGATCTAACCATTTAAATGGTTTGTTCTTATAATAAATTTGATTTCAATTTCTTACCTTTCTATTGTTTGTTAGCAATAAAGTATTAAATTGCTTTTTACAGCCAAAGTACCCTTTCCACTAACTTTGCGTTTCAAGCCAATGCTGCAGAGAGGTGTAGAATTGGCCTACTTGGATGCGTCATGGGTCTCATCTGCTTCTTGGTACTTCCTCAATGTGTTTGGGCTTCGGACCATTTATGCCCTTGTTCTTGGAGAAAATAATGGTATGCCAGTATTTTATTACACAGGATTTATTCTTTCATAAATTATACAATTTCCTTTGTAGATTATAGATAAGAATATCTAAAATAAACTTATTATTATTGATATTTAATGTGACAAGAGGATTGGCCACCCTTAAAAAAGGTGTAGGATAAATAAATAAAAGAAAACAATTTTATGCATTAATTTAAATTGTCTTGTGAAAATAATCAGACACATCACAATGAGCTTCAAAATCTTATTAAATAAATGCAAGTATAAGTTTAATGTTTATTTTTTAAATGTGACTTCATGATGGCCGCTCGCATTTTGCTTCTTGTAATCCACAGATTATAAAGCCCAACTTTATTTGGCAAAAACAAAATATATTTACAATTTACTATAAACAAAAAATACTAAATAGTTTCCCAACATATTTTTAATTTTATTGATATCTGTCAAGTAGCCAATGAAATAGCCAATAGTTCCAATAGTAATTAGTAATGTAAATCTTCTTTGTTAAACCAAAAATCTTTTCTAATTATAGCTGCAGATCAGTCTAAAGTGATGCAAGAGCAGATGTCAGGGGCTGCTATGGCAATGCCTCCTGATCCCAAAGCTGCTTTCAAAGCAGAATGGGAGGCACTGGAAATTACTGACCACAAGTGGGCTCTGTCCAATGTTGAATCAGATCTATTAGCCATTACAGAAGATAATATTGAGTAGTGTTTGTATATAGTGAATGTGTTTACTTTATGTTGAGTATTTATTTAACTAAATTAATTACATACAAAGTATTTTTGTTGTTTGATTCTTTATTACCCAGTCAAAAATCCAAAGGCGCCATATTTAGTCGCATGTTTTACAATGATACCAATTTGAGCAAAGCTTAGAACTTTTTGAACACTGATAAATAAATATAATGTTGAGAGTCATGGGTTACAAATATATTTATTATTTCGGGTGGATAAAATGTTAAGAACTGGCGATTTAAATTATAACACAGATTAAGCAAGCTGCTGTAATTTAAAACAGGGGGTCAAAGTTGGCTCGAATGGCTTCGAGAAAAGGATGATACAGCTATGCCGTTTTTTACTTTTTTGTTCGACTTGGCGGGGGCACTAAATTAACTTATAAAATGACAATTGAAATGAAATGTGCCTAGTGTGTTGACAGGGGCATAGCTACCGCAGTATCAATGTCACGGGGCCCCTGGGCTACAGAGGCCCCTCCCAACAAATTATCATACAGAACCCCTCCATGACATGCACGTTTATGTTAACTATAATGAAAAGGTTTTTTTATTTTAAATGAAACAACTTTTAATCAGTTTTATCGCGGTTGTTTCGGATCCTTTACGAGCTCCGTGTTCATATAAGACATGTGGACACCGAACCTGTAAAGGGTCCGAAACTTCAATATAACTTCTTATCAGTCAAAAGACGTCCTGAACAAGTTGTAGGGAAAAAATGTTGGACGATTTCAAAAGTACTTTTGAGAAGTCTATTTGAATAAAGATTATTTTGACTTTGACTAAATACAAATGCAATGCAACTGTTTAAATTTGTTTCATTTATGAATAGCGAGTGTGAAAATATAAGAAATCAATTTTAATATTATTTAATTACTTCAATGTAAAAGTTATACAGAGTATATACAATGACCTTTAATTGCTATGTACAAACGCTTCAATAACAAAATGAAACTAAAACTACATAATAAATGCTTATTGCTTTTAAAACCATCTTAAGAATTATAATCATTATATTTATGAAAATTAATGAAAATGAAATGAGTGTATCTTAAAGTTTTACACATAGAAAATATTTAGTAAAAAAATGGAAACTAATTATGTATAAACATATTTTATGATTAGTAAGATGATGAAAAATATTTTTTATAATAAATTAAATCTGCCTTACAAACTTGTGTCAAACAAAACATCAGAGTTTAGGAAATTACTATATTGTATTTTTATTTATCATCAGTAGCTTAAAATAAACAATTGCATTAATTTGTAATTTAGAATTTTAATAATAAAAGGTCGGTAATTCCATTCTTAGTAACCAAATATTGCAATAATTAGAGAGAATAAACATTTTTTTTATAGCTCGTAGTAATTTTATCTTAAATGTCGCTTCCACTTTATCAGTAGGGAGTATCTATTATATAAATCGATTTCCACACTGATGACAAGTTTACGTAACTAGTTTTCGAACAAAACGTCTCGTTTCTCGGCGGAAGGCTGGTCTTGTTAAATCAATCATACATGGTGTATATCGGATCTAGGAGCGGTTATGCACCGTTTGTTAGCGAAAATAATACTGGACGCGATCGTATCGATATTAGTATATGGACATATAATGCTTACTGAACTTCGGGTCATCCTAGAACTTTGGCCAACAAAAATCTGGTTCGTTACACAACCGATAGTTTGTTTCTGTCTGAACACCCTAGCGAATTGATACTCACAACAATAAAGGGAGATCTTTCAAGTCTTATACGTATAATAATCGGAGGCTCGTGGAGGATTCGACCATGTCAGAGCACTCGAGGGCGGATTATAAGACAACGACGTCCTAAGCGTGCCTTATCGCTTATTTATAGATGTCGAGGTAAGAAAGTTTATTTCCTCATTTTAGAGAATTAATAAAGCTACTTAACAAATTAAATGTTTGTCACATTTAATTTGTTAAGTAGCGTGGAGACTAAGCATCTGTCTAGGATAGGTGCTTAGTTTCCTTAGGAAAGTGGTTTCTAACCTATGGGTACCCACGCGGGGGTAACACAGATAAAAAAGGTCGGGAACCCAGGCTTAAAGCAGGAGTCTGTGACCTGCGACCGCGAGCTAAGTGCAGTTTTATCGATATTGTTAATAAATACTGTTACACACTGTCGAAATATTTTAAATCGTGTAAAATCGATTCAAGGTCGAGTACGATTGAGAGAAATTTCAAATATAATACTAAAACAATATTCATTGGATCATTAAAAAAAAAAAGTTTTTCTTTACTCAAAGCTTTTGGCTCGTTTTATAAGGTTTCAGAAAGTTTACTCTGATATTCCGAAAACGAAATATCGAATATTTTCGAAACGCTTATTGAAAAAAAAAATCTGCCTCATAATATATTTTGACGAATTTATAAGAACGATTTTATTATGGTTATCGGACAAACAGAGTAGACCCTTTGACCTAGAAGATAATCCGGCAAAGAGAGCAGTGATCGTCGAGGCTCGGTAATACAGTGCCGGGCTGGATGGCTGGCGGGTGGGCGGTTGACGGGCTGGCTGGCGGATGGGCGGTTGACGGGCTGGCTGGCGGGTGGGCGGGTAGTTGACGGACTGGCTGGCGGGTGGGCTGTTGTCGGGCTGGCTGGCGGATGGGTGTGGTGTGGTGTGGTGGTTACTTCTTGATGAGCTGCACGACGTCCTCGTCGTTGACGGTGTGGTTGAGGCCGACGCGCTGCGGCGAGTACTTGGTGCTGGTGCCCCACACCAGCGCGTACTTGAGCTGCGCCGCCAGCGACCGGTGGATGCCGTGGCACACGTGCTCTACGGTCACGCCCTGGACCAAGTCAAAATATATATCAATTAACTAATATCCGGTACTTTTAAATAGTCCAACATTTTTCCCTGCCATTCGTTCAAAATGTCTTAGCTGATAGAACGAGCAAGAAACTAATCAGCTCCAAACGAAGGATACAAGAAAAAAGCTATGATCTAACAACAATAACACAATACTTAGGAAACCCAATCACACATTCTAGACTGCATTCGACACACATGTCCTGTACTATACAGGAATATATTCTTTCCTCTTGATTTAATCTGGTTAAACTGAATAAATATCGTTGGTATATAACAGCGTTTCCAAACTTTGGTATCGGTGAGTATATGTATGGCGGTCCACCGAATCCGCAGCGCGACGAATGTTCACAAAATTACAACTTTGTTAATTCAAATATTATAGATTCGGGTGCAAAAACTCAGCACCGTCTTTCACATCAATACAAATAAATTTATCTATTTTTTTTTTAATAAAGAGTCCCTTGATCTCTTGTTTAATGTCTTAGGTGTTCACAGATCCGGTATATAAATCAACCTCAAAAACTCATTTAAAATGAGTCCTAAAAATATACATTATATAAGTTAGCGTAGCGGCAGTAGGGCTTGTTCTTATTGAGATATTTCATCGTGCGTAACTCTGCAACACATAGCCGCATTGACGATAAAACTTAAATTATAGCCTCCTGTACGTAAATTATATAAATAAAAATGTGAAATAGTAAGATCAAGCCTAAGTTTAATAAAAATAATGAATTGTCAAATAGAGGCTCGGAAGACGTACCCTTCTGAGGATGAGTCCGTCGTCAAAGTCCGGCGGTTGTCCCGGCTTCTTTGTGTAGACTCGTATCAGCGACAGATACTCCCATAGCGTCTCCAGAAGGTAGTCGAGGTTCAGTTTCATGTTGCAGCTGCACTGATGGAAATTGTACGTTGAAATACCGTAATATATTCAATGTTTAGAGGTGTATTTTAGATAGTTTTGTAATCACCAAATGTATAATATTAAAAGATTAAAATTAAATAAAAAAATTACTTAACAACACGAACTAAATTTTAGAATATTATTTATAGAATATACTTTTATGCTAGAAAAAACTCATCAAACAGCAAGTGATATTTTCTATGATAAATTATTTCTAAATTTGTTTTAATTTGAAATATAGCGCCCACCTGACCACAACAGAGTTTGGTTCTCGTGCGATACGGTCCACTTCTTGTATGGAGATCTGATCTATCTTATTGTACACATAAAGACAGGGCAGGTACACACGGTTAGCTAGGATCACGTCAATCAGTTCGTCAGCACCACAGTCCTCGCGGAATAGTACCTGCAAATAAATATTATCCCAATCACGATTGGCCAAAGATAGAAAAAAGTGCTCTAAAAAGGGAATTTTTTATTCGTTTCATTGAATAGGCTCTGACCGAAACTATTGGACCAATTTTAAAAATTCGTTTCTGAAAATGCAGTGGAAATAGGCTTTATTTCATCTCAAAAAACACCAAATAAAGGTATGAAAATGAAAATAGAAATTTGTATAGCGAATTAAAAACGTTACCACAGTAACCATTATTTTTTCTTCCCTCTGTATAGGGAGGAGGATCCGGGATCCAGCAAGAAGTCCACCGGATCCACCACAGTAACCATAGTTTATAATTAAATTTGATGCCATGATATGAAACCTTATCCCAATGAATTATTAGGCTACTTTTTATCGTATTAAAAAGTTCCCTAAGGACCACGCGGACGAAAACGCTGGCAGAAAGCTAGTTTTTTATTAATGGTATTTTACATTAAAATAGCTCCAGCAACAAAGTGGATTTTTTAAGCATTTTTCAAAAGCTAATCGTTATCATAAGAATTTAGAACCAATTTTTTATTGGAGCTCTTTTGTCAATATATGTCATCCTTGGCTCAACTCAATATACAACACTAAACAACTGCTTCTACAGACTTTTCACTGGTTTTGATTTCCATAACAAAAAGAAGTAATTGATAAGGAAATCAAAAACTGTGGGCGGAAACCATCACCCCTGTGTAATAACATACTATAAAAATGATAGTAACTATACACACATACCTCTGCATTAAATATTTTATATTCATGTAATATCATCTGAACCATTTTTTCATCTACTTTTGTGAGTTGACATGTCGAGTTGAATGATAACCCACCACCTTTTTTAACCTGTAAAATAAAAAATATAGAAAAAATTAAGGAAATGTTACCAAGTTTTGATACTTTTTATGTAACACAGAAGTAGAGTAAAAAGTTTACCAAATATACAGTCAAAAGCATGTCAGGTCACATAACTTCAATCAATTTTAGACCTTTACATATTGATTGCAAAGTTTAAATTTGAGTTGTTACAGTAACCTGATGTATTGCAATGAGTATGTTGTAAACCACAAATTTTTAATTTGGCAACATTGTATACATATCAAATACATAAAACTGTACATTTGACTTTAAAAATTACAACTTGTAGACTAAAATGTACCTTAAAATAAATATTAGGCTTAGGCTTGTTGAGCCTTATGCCTACACTCTCCAGTTCCTTCTCCAGTAATTGGCGGTGCACATATGGCTTGGTGGCATCCAGCATCATAAGCACCAAGTCAGCTGTTCTAGCTACAGCTATCACCTGTCAATGGTTAATTATAAAAGTTGCATGGTAAACAACAATCTTTAAAACCTATTGAAATGTTAGCATATTTATTAAATTGTGTGAACATTTATTGTTAATCTTAATCATCAATTACATCATTATTGTATCCATATATTAAAAGTTCACAACGGAAATTAGTAAATTCTTCATATCCTTGTATAAAGCTGACAATAAAGATTGTTATATTTTAGTTTATAGTACTTAATTTGAATATTGCTTTTAATTTATACCCTTGAAATATATTCACATAAATTCCATACTAATCACCAGTTCATATTACTTTAATTAATTATTTGAATTTAATTTTTAATGAACTACGTAAAGTTTGGTCAAATATTAATAATAATAGCTTTTTAACATAGCTGGGCATTAACTCGTTAATCCGTTAATCGTTAATTAACGAAGTTAACATTTTGATTAACGAATTATTAAGTTAACTTTTAAAAATGTTAACGGACACGTTAACTTCCATTAATATGCAGAAGTCCGTTAATCGTTAATCTAATGCCTACTATTTACCGCACGGTACCGCGGCGTGGCGCGAAAAACAGGTTCAGACAAGTATGAAACGAACGACAAGTGCCGGGCGGCGCGTGGCAGCGCGTGAAACAAAAACAAAACTAGATATATTTTGCCGGCACGTGCGAGTGAGAAAACTGCGAAGATATTTTTTCGTTTGATCATTTCATTACTTAGCGCCAGTGCTTAGAGTGACGAATGTTTTGTTTGTTGATATTATAAATTACTGTCAGTGATCATTTGCGTGTTGATAAAGAAGAGTGAATGTAATTTAGTTAGAAAAAGTGTACTGTGCAGTGTAGTAATTAAAACCATATCATGGAAGACATGGAATCGGTTTCCAGCGGTCCTGATGAGAATCCATGGCCACATTTGACTGAGTATGTGGAATTTGTATCCAGATCGGGCCAGCAAATACTTTTTGCGTGTAAGCGATGCTTGCCGAAAGACACTAAAATAAAAGTTCATGTATCAAGTCTGAATAATTTGAAACAACATGTAAGAAGGGTACATGAGTCACAGTACGTACAGTTTGAAGAGATTGTTAAGGCGGGCTCTAACCGGGGCAAGACAAAAAGGAGAACTCATTCTGACGATGATGATAGCACAAGTAGCAGTAATCCTAATCCCGTTAAAAGAAGAATACAACAGGGTCGACAGCTGAGCATCGGGGAATCGTTCGGGATTGCAGCTACTGGCAGCGGTGTACCCCAAGCCAAAGTGGACAAATGTATAGTAAATTTATTTGTTTCAAACATGATTCCTTTACATGTTGTCGAAAGCAAGTCTTTTGGTGTGTTGATAAAAACGTTAAACCCGAGCAAAAATTCAATTTCAAGAAGAACTTTGGGTAGACGCATTACTGACGAACACATTGAATTGAAGCAACACCTTATTAGGTAAGTTACTAAAATAAAAATAAATACCTATTTATTTTTAACAGATAAACGTCGCCTTACGTATACCTACGTAGGTATAATTTTATTTGAAAAAAGTTAAAATAATTAGGGGTTCATAAAATAGGTATGCATGCATATACATATCTATATAATTTTCATTTATTTATTAGTGCATTTTTTTACGTGATGTGTTTATAATTTTAATTTCAGTTTACTTGGAAAAATTGATTGGGTGGCAACGACGGCTGACTGTTGGTCAGCTCACAACAAAAGTTATTTGGGCATGACAGTTCACTGGTTAGATGCTATCACAAGAGCCAGAATGCATGCAGTATTAACGTGCATACGCCTAAAAGGTCATCATACATACGATATCCTGGCCCAAGCAATGATAGATATTCACTATGAATTTCACATAGATAAAAAAATCACAAGGTCAGTTAAGTCTATTTTTCGTGATGTGACCTACGGTGATGTGGATCGGTTACGTAATCCTTACTTAACATTATAAATGTGAATGTGAGTTTGTTCGTTTGTTACGCTTTTACGTAGAAACTACTTAGCCGATCAACATGAAATTTTGTACACATATTCTCAAAGGTATTGCGATGTACATTAGTAATGATCGTTATCAATGTGCAGTTTTCGTAGCTAAATATGGTTGTCAGAAAAATAAATACATGTAAATATTCAATATTATTTTTTACTATAAAATAAATACTTCAGGATTATTACCTCTAGATATATTTTTTGAGATAAAACCTTTTTCGATCCATTTTTAAAACAATATCCGTCGAATGACGTTTATTCATGTCATAAAATATAGCTAAAGTTAAAGTGTAATTACATTATCTGAAGTGTTTAATTTAATCTAAATCATCCATAGCACTTTATATTGACAATCGTATTTGTTCTAATTCATTGATAAGTGGACTCGTAATAAAGTGCATTTATGGATCACAGTATGGATTTAATACAATACCCGGATTTTATAATGACGGATGAAGGAAACACTTCAGATAATGTAATTACACTTTAACTTTAGCTGTATTTTATGACATGAATAAACGTCATTCGACGTAAATTATTTTAAAAATATAAAAGGTCGGTAAAGGTTTTATCACAAAAATTATATCTAGAGGTAATAATCCTGAAGTATTTATTTTATAATAAAAAATAACATTGAATATTAACATGTATTTATTTTTCTGTTAACCATACACTTAGCTACGAAAACTGCACATTGATAATGATAACGATCATTATACATTAGTTATTATTATTCATTATTTTTTTTTCGGAATATAATGATCTTTATGATGAATTAGCCGTAGGCTACCTTAAAAAGCAGGCTTAATTTTATTTTAGGACTACTACGGATAATGGCAGTAACTTTGTGAAGGCATTTGTGCAATTCGGCTCGGAGATCGACATACTTCCAGAGTTGCCATCATGTGATTTAGAGTCTGAATTTGACCCTGATATTGCCAATCTTTTAAATCCAAACTCAGAAGAAAATGATGACTTAGAATTTATTTCAGTAGAAAACATACTGAATGCTCCTGATCGTCTCCATTGCAATGAAATCAATGAACAGATATTAGAAAACTTTAATACTTTGCCAATTCACATGAGATGTGCTGCACATACGTTCAATCTGGTCGCTAGCAAAGATGTAGATGCTGCTCTACAAATAACTGTTTTCAAGACTCCCTACAGAAGTGCATTAGCCAAGGCACGTACTCTCTGGAATCAGCAATCACGTAGTACGGTAGCAGCAGATAGCATTCACGCTGAATTAGGCAGACGACTTGTCCTTCCAAATACGACGAGGTGGAACTCTCTGTATGATGCTATTGTCGTTCTCAACAGTATATTGGAAACAAAAAGGCCTTCTCTTCACAGGGTTATGACTCAACTAAAAATTCTAACTTTCAATGACCAAGATGTGACTGTAATGAAGGAGTACGCAAAGGTAATTTCATATATGTATATAGTTTAAATTAACGTTTTAGTAAAGTTATTTTCTTTCCACATCATATCAATACTTATATTAAATACTTATTTACAGGTTATGGCACCTGTCGCGAATGCCCTCGATCGTATCCAAGGAGAAGCTCAAGCATATCTCGGATCACTACTACCGACGATTGCAGCAACTGTCTATAAATTAAAAAATATTAAATCTAAGGGCCTAGTAAATTGCACAGCTTTAGCCAATGCCTTATTAAATGGCATAGAGAAAAGGTTTGGTCCACTCCTGAATGATGAACAGTGCCTACTTGCCGCGGCATTTCACCCAAAGTTCCGGTTGATATGGCTGGAAACGTATGACAGCAGTAGAGTGGATGCAGTAAAAAAGAGCATGGAAAAAAAGGTAGAAGATGCTTTACGACAAGAAGCAGCGGAAAATTCGAAGGACAGAGATAGTTTAACTGGCGGAGGGAGCAATGCGAGTAACAACGATGATGACGAGGAGGAAGACTTTTTCAATTCTGTCACTCGGTCTATAGAAAAACCAAAGAGCTCCAACTCTTTAAAGAGTAAAGCGCAAAGTCTCGTTAAAATGTGGCTGGACATGAAATCAAAAGACTCGTTCAACGATGCTGCATTCCTCGGGGAACAGATATTCATAAATCTATTTATTAAATACAATACTGCTATACCCTCAAGCGCTGCAGTTGAACGTCTGTTTTCCACGGGTAAAGACATTTTAACACCAAAACGAGCCTCGCTTTCAGACGAGAACTTCAACATGTTAATGTTCATGAAGGGGAATATGCACCTTATGCCCGACGATTAAATTACACATTTGAATTATACAAGTATTTTGTTTTATTCCTAACCTATTAACTTCCAGAACCTAAACCAACAAGTTTTATAAGTTCACTAACGCAACGATATAAAAATGCAATTTTACACATATTAACGGATTAACGATTAACGTTAACTTGCGTTAATTCTTCCGAAATGTAACGCTTTAACGTTTAACGAAGCTAACTTTTTTGTAGCGGATTAACGATTAACGAAGTTAACTATTTGATTAACGGTTTTTAATGCGGAAAACCTTTATTTTATATAAAAAAATATGTCCAAATGGACACTAGGCATTCTAGGTATATAAATAGCAAAGGAACAAATTTTTTTAAACTAGAGTAGCAAAGGATATATAATTTCTAACATAAATATATTTAGATATTGTAATGCAATTGCTTAGAACATTCAATGCACTGGCTCAGTCACCCAGTTGGAAATGAAGAGAGCAATGCTTGGTATTTCTCTACGTGATCAGATCAATTATGAATGAGGAGATCCATATGAGAACTAAGGTTACTGACATTGCTTAAAGAATTGCTCAGATGAAGTGGCAGTGGGCGGGACACACAGTGAGAAGAACTGATGGCCATTGGGGCGGAAGAATTCTCGAATGGCGATCACGTACGAAGACGCTCAGTGGGTAAGGCTCCCATCAAGTGGACCAAAGTTGCGGGAAACCACTGGATGAGGGAAGCATACGAGCGATTGTTATGGAAATCTATAGGGGAAGCCTATGCTCAGCAGTAAGCGTCTTACGGCTGATGATGATGATAATGATTCAATGCATAACCCAAAATAGCATTTCACTAAACTATCTTCTGAAGATTATTTCTCTTGATTACCATAGTTAAATTTATCAAAACAATTTAAGAAATAAAAAATACTGTCAGGCATGCCCTTGAAAGTATCACAAAGCAAATTTGAATTCTGGAAATGGTTCCAATGAGGTTCTGAATCAGAACAAGTCAGGTTCTGGCATTGTAAAATTGACACCGGCATACATAAAATTGACACCGGCATACATAATTATTTATATTTCACATCAATATCACAATAGACTGCTTTTTCTAAAATATACAAAATATCATGTAAAGATAGAGATATTTCAAAAACACCCTTTCCTATGTACCTAATAACAATACAAAAAAACAGTCTTAAGCGCTTAGCATGTCCATTAGAACACATATCTTCAATCACCGTAAATTATGATATTCTACTTTTTGTCAATATATTACTGTAGCATTGAATTAATAGGAAGAAATAAAACCACATAAATGTTCTCTTTCTTTTTGCTCTCATCCATTTTCCACAAAGTTTAAACTTCAAAGCAAAAGAAAATTACACTTAACTCTCTAGCCATAGAATCATAAACCAGCCTATTAATGTGCCTACTTCAGGGGTTTAGGCATTCCCTAGGCATGGCATTTAAATAAAATTGAATAGGGAGAATGAACCGAATTGTTAGTTTTTATAGATATGGCTAGAGTTTTATCCAGAGTTAAGCTTTCACTATCCTTCAGGCCAATTCTGTTAGCATTTAAGTAATAATAGCATCTCATTAGAATCTCAACTTTATACTACATACCTGAAGTCCAATATTATTAATGCAATGTCTTTCTCACACATCAATGGTGACAGATATGTAATAATATTGTACTACAGGTAGAAAGTACAATGGTAAAATGCAAGTAATTGAGATTATATCGCAAAGCAACTCTTTTGACAGCTACATGAAAGTATTATTACATCAAAAAAAAATATTTAGAGTTGAATTAATCTTGTTTTTATTTACCATATAACTGTGTCCATATGGACACTAGGCAGTAATAGGTTAACTATATTTTACAATTTTATTGATAATGAAATTGATATTTTAAATTATGTACGTCAGCAGGTCAGGTTATCAAAAAATTATATATGCTGATTGCTGTATAGTTCATTTACCTGTCTACCTCTGCCTTTACCCTGGGCAGCACCTTCAATGATACCAGGCAAATCAAGCAGTTGTATATTGGCACCTTTGTATTCAATAACACCAGGGATGCAAGTAAGGGTTGTGAACTCATAACTAGCCGCTTCAGAATGTGTATGTGTTAACGTTGACAGCAAGGTAGACTAGAGACAACATGGACAGAAATAATATAAATTAAAGATCCAATGAGCCACTAATTAGAAAAAAGACCAAATCATTTATTACTAATTTTCTCAATATGTTTACTTACTTTACCAACTGAAGGAAAACCAATTAAGGCAACTCTAGCATCTCCTGATTTCAGTACATCAAATCCTTCGCCTTTGTCACCACCTTTTTTCGATGGCTCGAGCAACTGAGAGCGGTATTTTGCAAGCTTGGCTTTCAAAAGACCCAGATGATATTCAGTGGCTATAAAGAAAAATATTAGGTAGTAGTATGCAAAGATATTTTTTCTGAATATTTCATCTCAAATGAATACCTTTATTTTTTTGTGTTCTAGCGATTTCTTTCTCGATTTCAGATATCTTTTCTAAAATTCCCATGTTTTGGAACGATGATGTAGCGACCGACGTTTACACTATCGCAAGTTAATGATTGATCATATACCCAATGTAATAACACTATTATCAATTAAGGTATTTAATCATTTCTATAGCCTGGTGAAATATAATGAAAATATATTTTTTTACTATTATTTAGAATTAATATAACGAGGTTATTTCTTAACAGACCCCAATCGAATTTTTTTTTTCGAAAAAGTTTTACAACAGACCATAAAACACGAAACCACGGAACACTTTATACAATATTAATCTATGTCTTTTACTCCAAGGTCTCCAAGGAGAAACACACTGGCACATACAATAGGAATAACACGATATATCAGAAAACCGATATATCAAAGGCATAAAATATCGATACGTATTGATATTAAGAAACAGAGTACTGATAAGTATTTAAAAAAAAGAAAGCACAAAAAATGCACCTCACTAGATGGCGACTCTAGCAAAAGTTGATTTTTGCAGGAAGCGAATGGATCAAAGATAGTTCCGTTCCTTTTAACTAACATATGAAAAAACTGAAATTTGCAAAGTTCTAAACTTAGATATCAATATAAATACGAAAAAGTACAAATAGAATATGAGTTGCTTATTGAGTTTTGAAAATTAATTTACTTTTATAAATTAATAAATTTGAGTTTGTGCCCTACACTGAATTTTCGGTCCGTGATGGCGGCAATGAAAAACCCTGTCAGGCAATTATTTAGGTACCTTTCACTTAAAAGGGGATAAACTCAATATTTTTTCTGTCTTCTGCATCTTCGCACGTAGTCCGTAGAGTAATAAAGCAAGCATTTGCCGACGTTCCAAAAATCTCATCGTACTTAGCGTAAGTGACGCGTAGCTTCAAAGAGAGCTGCCCTAAACTGCGCCACTCCGATCCGGAAAAAAGTATTTAAAAATAATAAAAAAACTACAAAAAATTATGTCATTAAATGGCAGCATAAATTGTACGACCTAAATGTCTTTTTCAATACTAAAATTTTCATAGTCAACTCAAGTTATTAACTCGAGTAACTGAAGTTATTAAGTCGAGAACGGCGCACGTGTTGCCAAAGTTGCCAGTGCAAAATAGGTGCCATTGTTCCATCCGAATAAAATTCTTGATATCATCTCAAAAAACTTCTTTTTTTGCAAAAAGCCCCTCAGAAATTATTGATATATTTTTTTGTTATTTAATATATAAGGTGCTTTGGACAATTAGGAAAGTGGTAAATATCTGAAAAAGACGAATTACCACAAAATCAGGCATCTTTTTAAAAAAACTGTTGTTAAAGTTGACAAATAAATTTACTTTTAATTAAATCTTAGAGGGTTAACGGTTAGTTGCACAAACGGCCATTAAGGTTTAATGACGCTTCTAAATGCCATTTTGTATTGGTAATGTTGCTTTAAACTAATGATTATTTTAACGGACCTTTGTGCATTTGGCTGTTAATTAGGCAATTACCATTGCTCATTTCATTGACTGGTCATTGAAATGGTTGCTCTTAGATAATATTAGAATAATGTGGTAGGCGTATGAAACTAGGCAGTACAGAATACAATTGCAGAGTCTATCCAACAAACAAACATCTCGAATCTTAAAAAACTGATTTGAGTTGACTTTTTCTTTCAATATTTATCTCTTAGTTGATATTTAAGCACTCACCTAATATTCCCTGGTTGCGACACACCACAGCGACTGACCGTTCCCACATGGCATTAGGTAAAATTGTTTATTATTTTTGCCTTATTATTGTAAAAATAGTGAAACTAGTTTATGAGCTTTGTGCCTCTTATCCTTACTTATATTATAAACTAGAAAGATTTGTTTGTTAATTAAGCTTGTTTACAAACTCCGAAACTACAAGACTGATGTAAAAATCCTTTTACTTAAGGGAAGCTACATCTTTCATCAGGATGATATAGGCTACTATTTACATGTGCGAAGGTGTGGGAATACTGTACCTGTAGTTCAACATTTAATGTTAATTTATTTTTTAGTAGTAATGTACAAATGTACTGGATAGGTGTTTTAAAATAGTTCTTTCTGTTAATAGGCCCAGACGTAAATGTGAGTCTACAGCCACTCCAAGCCGAAGAGTTGTTCTCGAGGGCGAGCACAAATTATAAGAATAGTTGTGTTCGACTGCAAGCACACGTCAGGAGAGGCCGTGGAATATTTAACGATAAGGACATCATGTGACCAACTTATATAAATGTAGCTGCTTTTTTGACCATCAAATGCCAGCCTCCAGCTGAAGACAAACTGTATGAGCAGTGTAACTTATTTATTAAGTGATATTGTAAAGTCTATTCTTATAAATAAGTGTATTTAGAAGTACTGTCTTTTGCTTGTAGAATTGTATTCTCAAATAAAAGGTAAATATGTGTAAATCTACAATTTCTTTATTTAACTATCTCTGCTTCTTATTTCTTACATAAATAAAATTAATATAATGATAATGTAATTAAAGTATTCTACAAAACATAAGTTTTTCTTTACACCGTTTATGGAATACTACACATGCTTATATATATACAATATTAAACTTTCCCGTGAAAATATTATAATAGTTACTTTCCTTAAGATATGAAATATTGAAAAATAACGTTTTTTATAACTGTAGACAATGTCCACTCAAAGCCAAAGTGCCCATACAAACGATTATTTACCATAATTTTAAAGTGTATAGCGACATCTATAGTCTATTCCACTTCCTCTGAGACAAAATGTAAACAAACAAACCAATGTTTCTCAAACTTTTTTATTGATGTTGGTTTTTTTAATATTTCCACAAGGTAGTAATTAAAAATGAAAAAAAAAATAGTTCCCGAAATCGAACTAGATGTCGCTACGGTACTTTCTTGATTTCTCCATGACAACCCTTCCGGTTTTCTTCCATGTATAAAAGTGATTTCAAAAGTCAATAAACAACTCATATTCTATTTTTTTTTTTCGTATTTGTATTGATATTATCTAAGTTTCGAACTTTTCAAATTTCAGTTTTTTAATATGTCAGTTAAAAGGAATGGAAATGACTATCTTTTGTATGGACCAAAGATAGAGTTGATTTTTGCAGGAAATAAATGGTCGTTTCCTGCAAAAATCAACTTTTGCTAGAGTCAATTAAACACACGATAGCTGCAGCTAAATCTTTATCAGACATGGTGCACTTAAGAAAGTTATGACGAGAATGCTTGTTCAATTTTATTGTCTCAATTTTATTGTACCGTGTGGATTTCGGAGCTCATCAATCATATTGTGCAATCATCAACATTGCGCAATATTATTGTAGGTGTATGGGTCGCCTTATATTTGACATATGACAGCGATTGCGAACATGACGTTTTATTGAATGGTATTGAATTAACGATATAGGTAATTAATTTGATGTTTTCAAAACTAATGAGCTAAATGCTGTCTGCAAATCTTTATCTATCTTTTACGTTTATTAAGTTTTTATCATGTTTCTTGATAATTAACATCATCATTCGTTACGAAAGCGATTTCAAATATACTTAATTCCACAAATCGCTACACCTTCGAAAGGTATTGTGATAAATTATGAAATGAAAAAATATTTTCAAAAAAGTTACCTGTGGGCTGTGGGCAAATCGTCTTATTCTAAAGTAAATACAAAGTTCATTTTACTTTGTTTTTACTTTATACTACTATCTATTATATTTTAAAACACAATTTACCACTAATAACAAATATTTATTTTATAGAACATCTTTTTAAATATTCTTATTTTAATGTGAAATAAGAATATTTAACAAAATGTTCGCTCAATACAACAGTGTGAATGAGTTGGAAGATTTGCCCACAGAATCTTTGTGAATTTATTTACATCGTGTAGGTATAACAAAAAAATGTATTCTATACTCTAAGCAAAAATTCAATCATTCATCTTATTACAATAATAACCTGTGAGAATGCTGTCTAGTAAATAATACTAGTCAAAATTTCAGCTTTTTTATTTAACTATAAATAATATATTTTACGATTTCATTGAATAAGCTCCAAGGCGGGGTTGAGGGTGGGGCAAGTTGCTTTCATTTACTATACTTTGAAAATTGTAATCATCATGACCTTCTAGTTTATATTGTGAAATAACGCTATTTAATTCGTAACAATTAAGTCAAAAATTGTGTCACGGAGCAATCTTGCCTCAAAACGATATATGTATGCTAAGATTATTCATAATGCTTTGCTTAAAGTTTAGCAAATTATTATTTTATTTAATAACAAACCCGTGAGTAATCTTACGTCCTTCTATATTTCATTTGTATCTATAAATCATTCGGTCTTAATCCTTTTGTATTTGTACTTGATTTGTACGGTGACAACACTTTTAGGGTTTTGGGTTTTTATTTGTTGTACCTATGTACTATTAATATTTCTTGTTTTATATTATTGTACCTATCTAATAGATGGGGAATTCTTGCGCTTTGGAAAAACGAAGTAAAAAAATCAACGAAATCAATTGAGGAAATGGTTTTTGATTATGAAGATGACAAAAATTCAATGATTGCAACGATAGAGAAGGGTAAATATTATGTTGCAATATTAATTAATACCACATGTAATGATGAACAGACAACCGAAACGCAAACATTACATTAATTAAAATAAAATTAGCTAAGTGTATGGCACAATATTTATAATGACTAGTAATCATTGTGATGGAGTTAGATATTAAAAGTTTATTATATAAATAACTTTCATAGATCACTCTTAATACAGAAGATAGAAGATAAGAAATACTCACTGTTGCTACAGTTTAAATATATTTCTTTTGCAGATAAAGTAGATCTCTATGAGGATTTCTATGACGAACTAGATAATAGAATAAAAACTGAACAGTCTATGAATATGATTTTTTTTGGGCCACCGGTATCATTCATGCGTCTTGACACCGAGACAATTCTTCATGTTTTTATGAATACAAAAAAACATTTGGTGCCAATATCGAGAGCATTACTAGCATGGGATATGCTTACAGGAATTGATCATTTCAAGTGCCTATTCATAAATTGTAAGCTTATGAGTCAAACAAAATAATTTATTTATAATTATTACAGATGGGAAAACAGCTGCCTATTTACAAGGACGAGATTTTTTAGCATTTGGATCTCTATTAAATGTTATTCCAGAGGAAGATTTATACTATGTCAATTTTGGAGATCCATCTGTGCTAAAATATTTTTCTAAACATTCTTCAAAATTACATAATCGTAAGGTATGTGTGTAATACATTATATATATATTACAATTTATTTGCAGTAGATACGTACCATGAACAATAAATTAAGTAATGTTTTTTTTCGAAAA